CAAGAGCCAGAGCAAGCAACAGCGGGGAGGCGCAAAGGGCGGCAACACATACATCATCGAAGACGAGGATGAGCCGCTTGATCTCCTCTCTAAGAACGCTCTTGGTAACATCTCCTCAACGAAACCCCTGCGCCAACGCAAACAGCCACAGAAGATGAACGCCCGCACAAACGAGGACGGCAAGCTCATCATCGGCGACGAGGACGAGGAAGCCCCGGCAAAGGGCAAGAAGTCCAAGAAGCACGAAGTACCCGACGAAGACGTCCTCATGGACATCGACGACCAGAACACATCCCTCGAGGCCGGCATCAACGCCTACGTAGACGCCATCCGCGGCCGCGACACCGCCCAGCAAGGTCAGAAAGGCCGTCTCAAGTTCAGCAACAAGCGCACACACGAAGACGACGAAATGGACATGGATGACGACGGCGGCGAAGCTGATTGGCAAGAAGTGCGAAAGGCGAAATCCGGCTCTGGAATGGGTAGGGGTGGTGTGAAGAGCAGCGGCGCTGGCCAAAAGAGTCAGCGGCGTGGCCTAGGACAGGAACGCACAAGGGGCGGCAATGTCAGCGGTGGAGAAGGAAGGGGAGGCAAGGGTAGAGTCGAGAAGATGAGGAGTACACGTGGTAGAGGCGGTGCTCGTGGTGGTGGTGGGTTTAGAGGGAGGGGCAACGGGCCCAGTGGGAAGTGGAGTGGGCCGAAGTAGGTGGGATGAGCAGATGCATTTACGGTAGTAGTATGGTAAAAAGGGAGAGGCGTTGAGGTGTCGTCACGTTGTTTTATGTAGTCTTGATATCCAAATGAATGTAGATATCCATTTCGCTGCTTCATCTCTTTTGGGAAACGACATGAACGTGTCCGGCACATCTTGCGGACGCACACAGACTCGGTCATCGGTGACATCGGAGTGCGAAACCATCGTCTTGCCGACATGTATGGAGCAGATCAAACGATGGCCCAACGACACCGAATGTAGCCCGTGTAAAGCATCGTGGATTGTTGTGCATGGAGTCGGCGGATCTTGTTGTGTTGCCGACTCGCAATAAAGTTGGGGACACGACAGGGTATATCATCGGCACACTCTCTCCACTTGCCGAACCTCAAGACGCTACCGCGGCGTCAGCCCTATCATTGTGGTGAAGGCTAGCTACATTTGTCTCATTCCATCTCTTTTGAACACAAGCGCTTTGCCTCACTACTAAGCGTGGATTAAACATTGTGGAGAAGCGTTTTATGACTTTGCTGTGGTTGGTGTGTGTCTTGCGTTGTGTTCCCTTTCAGTGTGATCAGTCATCAGATACTGGGATGTGCGTAGTATGCTTGCCGTATACACACCGCTGTCCGGGGTCTCGGTGGGAGGTATAGCGATGTCTGGAGATCTATCGGCAGATGTTGTTGTGGAGAGAGTATGTATGGTGGATCACACGATGGTGTTAGCTATGCTGTGATGGGGTGTACAGATGGGTATGTATGAAGGAGAGATCTACGTGTGGGTAAATGTTTACCTGGTGGCTGTATAAAAGCTGACCTACTGGCTTCTACTGGATATCCCTTGACATACTGCGGACCGGCCTACTGTTGTGCTTCATACACAGCTCTCGTCAAAGCACAACCCTCTCAACGTCAATATCCAACATGGCGACGACAGGCGCCCCAACCCTCTCCCGCAACGACTCTATCATGCCACCTCCCTCTCCTCCCCTCAAACCAGCAACCCAACAAACCAAGCTCCCCCGCGTCTCCCTCCCTGCCGGAGCACCAACACCCTACCTCCTCCCATCTCACACAGGCGAACACCTAACCATCCCTGGCACAAAAGCCGTCTTCCGCATCCTCTGCTCCGCCGCCGAGACTAACAACACTATGAGCGTCTTCGGCCAAGACGGCGTCCTATCCGACCCCCCAGGCTTCCACTACCACAACCACGCCCACGACGTCTTCATGTGCACAAAAGGACGGTTGAAGATCTGGGCTGGAGATAAATGCCGCATACTTTACCCAGGAGACTTTGCCTACGTGCCACCTGGTGTGGTGCACCAGCCGCAGTTACTGGATCAAGGACCTAATGAATCGATGGGTCTTGTGACACCGGGCGACTGGGTTGATTTCTTCCGGTTCGTGGGAGAAGACTATGGCGGTGTGCTGTGTGATGAGTTTGACGATAGGAATACGGGTGCTGTTTTTGGACCTAAGATACGCGAGATCAAAGAACGTTTCGATGTGGTCTTCCAACCGCAGTTCCAGGGCGCAGAGGTGGCGGATTTTGAGGAGGGGGAGTGCGTATTACCAGAGGGTCAGGAAGCATATTTCCTCAAAGCGAACACTGGACCGTGTTTCTTACTCGAGGGTGTGTTATCCAGGCCTTTTATCACCATGCAGCAGAGCAAAGGGCCGTCGGGCAACTTTGCCATCACGAGTATTGAGTCTGGGAGCGAGTTGAAGAATTCGGTGTTGAGTAAGGGGGTTGTTTTTGAAAAAGTACATCAGGTGTACTATGTACTCGATGGGGCGCTTTCGCTCACGGTGGACGGCGAGGCAGGGCATCTGGTCCGGGCGGGTGAGACGGCATTTATACCAGCTGGGACGGAGGTGGCGGTGGAGTTTGTGGATCGCTATGTGAGGTTCTGGTCGTATGCTAGTGGAAGTGGGCTGGAGACGTTGATTGCAGAAGCTGGGGGCGCTTTCGAGGGGAAGGTGGTTCCGGATCAGACGAGGAGTGTGGATGTGGAGAAGGTGCGGGAAGTCGCGAAGAAGCTGAGAGTGAAGATTAGTGTATAGCTTTTGTCATAGTTTTGCCTTATGTTTGACCCAGAAGTCTACGTTCCCTTGATATCTCGTCGAGCTTCGTTCTCACGACTATTGTAGACTGCAGGGCACCTGTGCAGTCGTTTGTGTACGCGGTGGGAGCGACGCGGAAGGCGCGAACTTGGAGAGCGATCGGCGTGCCGAGGCCCACCACGCGCCCTGCGTCATCGATCGTGGGTGACGCGCCCGCGTTCTTCTCAACTGGAAGGAACCAAGCGTTGCGCACCACAGCCGGGCCAACACCCTACCAAAAGCAACTGCAAGTATGCCGACGCATATACTCAAGAGATACGGAGTGTTGGGGCAAGAACTGCGACCCACTCTTGGGCAGGAACGAGCGTTTGAGAGTCTCACCGCCCGAGCCGTGTTGTCATCGAGCGTCAACGAAGATGACTTTCTCTGATCATCCTCGCTCTTTCGCATAACACACGTCAACATTCTTCTCCCGGGCCACGATGCCTTCGCCGTCGCAATGGGTTGCCTTGACAGCAACCATCGTGGCCGTAGTATCGATCGCGCAGAGCATGTATCCGAATTTGGTTCTCTCTGCGCTCGGCCTAACCACATGCCCTTCATCATGCCGATCAAACATCGAAGTATCTCGATCCAAATATCTTGGCGATGGCTGCGCCGATAAGCCTTACAGTTCGAGCTGGGATAGTTGGTTTCATCCTCAGCGAAGCGATGGCGTGGAGATCGACCACGGCCTCGGTGCAGGAGCTGTAACAAAAGCTTGGAATATCTTGTACCATCTCGGTGGAAATGGGCCATGGGTGGAAAAGATCATCGATGTCGTTGACGGAGGTGTTGCTCCGCCGGAGGGATGCGAGGTGGTCCAGGCCCACATGATGTCTAGGCATGCTGAGCGCTATCCTACCAAGAAAGCGGGTAGGAAGCAGAAAGCAGTCGTTCAGCGCATGAAAGACAGTAACAAGAATTTTGAGGGCGATTTGGCATTCTTCAATAATTGGGAGCTCTTCTGGTCTTCAGACGATACCCAGCTGGAGCAATTGACAACTACTGGGCCTTTCGCGGGTATACTTTCCTCTTTCACCACCGGCATTCGTCTGCGTACACGTTACCAGCATCTTCTGGAGCAAGCTGATTTCACCCCTTCCAGCAAGCCTACCACATTCTGGGCTAGCGACTCCAATCGTGTTATCGAGACAGCTAAGCACTTCGCCGCAGGCTTCTTCGGCATCGACTATACCACTAGCAATACAGCTACTCTTCAGGTCATATCCGAACATTCTTCGGTTGGTGCAGATACGTTGACGCCTGGACGAACATGCCTGGCCAACAAGAAGGACAAAGCAGAAGGCCAACAGAAGGGCTATCGTCTGATGCACGAGTACCGGGCCACATACATGCCGCCCATCCGCGAGCGACTACTCAGTCAGACAGGCATGAGCTTTGACGATCACGAGATCTACGCTATGCAGGAGATGTGTGGTTTCGAGACGACAGTACGCGGTCGCAGCGACTGGTGTGATGTCTTCACTCGAGACGAGTTCCTCAGCTTTGAATATGCGCGAGACATTCTGCATTATTATCGCGCAGGCCCAGGTCAGAAGTACGCCACCAGTATGGGGTGGCTGTGGCTGAATGCTACAACGAACCTGCTACTTGAGGGCCCAAGCGCTGGCCCATTCTTTTTCAGCTTGTGAGTCTTTCTTCGAACCATGGAGACTACAAACTATTGAGGCGAGCAACACTGACTCCAGATAAGTGTCCATGACGGCGATATAGCGCCGCTCATGACTGCGCTCGATGTTATCAATGACCGTGAACACCTTCCCATCACTCACATCGCCCATGATCGCAAATGGCGGAAGTCACAGGTGTCGCCGATGGGCGGTCGTATTATTTTCGAACTACTATCCTGCAAGACCAAACGCGAATCATCACCTGAGAAGTTCGTCAGACTCAACATCAACGACGGCATCACCGCTATGCCGGGCTTTGACAGTGGTCCCGGGAAGAGTTGTCCACTGGCAGATTTTGCCGAGAGGACCAAAAAGAAGGGAGAGGAAGCTGGGAACTTCAACGAGTTGTGTGGGCTAAGCGATGATGCTGCGGAATACATCACTTTCTTGCATCAATGACAGGCAGGGCGTAGTGCGATGTAGCATCCATAGTGCGATCCATGTATTCGGAGCCTATGAACTGCTCTTCAATACCATTGATCGTCTGGACTAAGCATACACGTAGCAGAACGGCCCTGCAATCGTGCTCATAGCGTCTTTGATGGTAATGTTCGGTGAACCGACATACCCCACGCTGAGCACGTCATCAAGAGTGGCATTACGGCTCGGTGGGTTGTTCAGAAAGGTCATGGTACCGACGATGCTGTTCTGCCGGCTTTTCAAATCGAGGTTCTGCCATGTCCACCAAACGCGATCGATCATGCCGTGGTGGAAATAGAAGGCTGGGTCTGCTGGGGAGTTGAACCTGCGGTTTAGTCAGTACATGTCTTATGCCAGCGATGGCCAGACGTGGTGAAGCCTACATATCCATTCCAGAGTCACCTCCGATCGTGTAATGTCCTCCATTGTGAACGCCCATAACCCCTTGAGTGAAGTTCTGCATCTTGTTCTGGAAGCTTAGTATATCGGGGTAGTTCTTGATCAGGTCTACGACCATCTCATCTCGGGTCTCGTTGGAAGCCTGGGTACTGATATCGCGACTTAGGCAGCGAGGATTGTAGCCAAGGCCATCAGCTTGCGGATTCGGTGGGGCGTCTTTCACTGTCGTTTGGATAGGGCCTAGGTTGATCTTCCAGCTGTTTCAATTAGCCAATTGTCGATCTAGTTTAGATTTGATCAACGTACTCTTTGAATGGCCCAGACTTGATGCAGCCTCCACCATTTGCGGAAAGGAAAGTAACCATACAGCGCGCTTCGTTTGGGATGCACCATGACCCTCGTCCAGCCACATATTCGCCGTCACCAGAAATACTGGTCTTGCTGCCGTCGAAGAGAGGTGATGAGAGCGGGTCTTCTGCCCATTTGGACCAGTTGTTGTATGGGAGATAGCCTTTGTAGCCACACTCGTTGCGAAGAGCTTGTTCGTAAACCCAGATATAGTAGCGATGCCAACTCAGGAAATTCCCCTGGTCTACATTAGTCGAACTCAGCTGGTTGTGCATTCTCAGCGTACCGTGCCATGAATGCTCATTGTTTGCAAAATGTGCGTGACGATGAAGTCGTCGAATCGGCTCTTCGCGCCTGAGGCTATGGCCGCTGGGGTTTTCGCTGGCTTTTTGCCTAGGCATTTGACCGCATCGATATAGTTGAGCTTCTGATCCTCCGATAAAGTGGACCTGAATTTGTGTGAGTCAAGTTACCGCGGAACGCGTGTGCCTTCTACTTGCCATTCTCGTCGGACGGCAACATTATCCAACGTGCATTTTTCTGCGTCTGGGTACCCATTTTGAGCCACGTTAGACGTGAGCTTCGCGAGTGCTTCAACTGCCAATGCATCGTTCTCTAAAAGGCTGGCACCGACGCCACCATACAATATTGCCGTTGCCAAGGTCGAGACCTTCATGTTGACGGGAGAGGAACAGAGATGGGTAGTAGTGGATTTGTGCTGATTGTATATACTTATACATGCGTGCCGTGCCGTTCCCACTGTCTGTAGTTCAACATTTCGAACGCAGCTTCCGTCATGGAGGCTACTTTCATGCACGTATTTCTTACTTTAGCCGTTAGCTACTACGAAGGATGAGCCAAGCAGCAATAAACGACCACTCTCAGCGGCGAGCCTAGTGCTTTGGTGGCGTTTTCTCGCGAACTATTCGAGGATGATAGCGCGTGCGGGTAGTCGGGTGCAGGGAATGTCCCGTCGGTTGGCGTTGCGGGAGACCAATATACAAACACGAGTTTCTAACGTCGTAATGCTTTGCGAACGCATCTCTTTAGGCGCTTCTCATGCCAGCATCCGAACCAACTCCTTACTGTGCGTTTCGCGATCGCACAAGAGTCAGCAACGGAAAAACTGCAGGACCAGTTTGCCGCGCCGCAAGCACACGAACTGCAAGCCAAGATCTGGGATTGCAGGACGTGGCGCCAATCTGCAGGGGATGCGGCAAATTTCAATTCCCGGTAGGAAGCGACAGCGCGCTCGTGGTAGGTATCACGCTCTCAGCACGCGTATCTCGAAGACATCATAGTAAGTTCAGTATGGAGTACGAGCCATAGACTCGTGTGTGGCAGATCGTCGGCTGAGTCGACGCGTCGTGAAGAGGAGCTCGCGAAGCGCCAATGGGGTCTTGGCATCATGTGACACACCTGCCCGAAGTCGTCATCGGATTCCGGCTTCTCTCATGCAACACAGGCACAACCATCACCACACTCGATGTCGAAAACTAAAAAGGCTCATATGTAATTTGATTGCTGCCAGCAGCCATGCAGATATGACAGCGAAGCTCTACCTAACAAAAGCGCCGCCTCCACTCGCGCCCAACTGATTACCCGTCATCCAGCCACTCTCTGGCAAGCACGCGATACCAACGATACCTGCCACCTCCTCGAGCGTACCGGGCCTACCGCCAATCTCGCCTGCCAATCTCAACATCTCCTCGCTGTCTACACCAGGTCTCTCCTTCGCCAACGGAATCAAAGCGTTGTACATCTTCAGCGCCTCCCTTGGCGCCTCGGGCAATCCGTTCAGGAGACCTGTATCCATGGGACCAGGGCTCACACTGTTAACAGTCGCGCGTTCAGCAAGTTCACGCGCCCACACACGCGTCATAGCCTCGATTGCGCCCTTGGTGCCAGCATAGGATGTCTGTTGGATCAGACCCCACGTCGTAGTCGCGGATGAGATGTTGACGATCCTACCCGATCTGTCGTGAGGAAGATAGGGGAACGCAGCTTTGATGAGCAGCGCAGGAGCTTTGCAGTTGATGTTGAACGTCTGGTCCCAGAGTTCTGGATCGAGCTCCTGGATGGGCTGCGCATTCACGACAGCGGCATTGTTGATCAGAATGTCGATCTGGAACGAAGGGGTGGCCGCTGGGTTGCTGAAGTGCGCCTTTGCCGCATTGACAATGGTTTGCGGGGCGGAAGGGTCAAGAAGATCAGCGCGGACGGGGAGCGCGTTGATCTTGTAGGTCGTGGAGAGATGGTTTGCTAAGTCAGTCGCGATCTTATCGGACGCCGATGTTGCGTAGTTGATCACAACGTTAGCTCCGCGCGAGGCGAAGTAGGTGGCAAGTGTGGCGCCGAAGCCTAGTTGCACGTCAGTTACTAATCAAGTGGAACGTCGTTACATTGCCATGGTCGAGGACTATGAGCTGGTGTCAGAACATACTTCGCGAAGAACCGGTAATAATGGCAAGTTTGCCTTCAAAGACTCTGGGTGTTGACATTTTGGAAATTGCTACGTGCTGAGGTATGCTGAAACTTGGGTAAGAGACCTGTACATGTATCTATGGAAGTAGTCGTGACAACGCCCACCGCTTGCACGGCAGAGGCGTCGCGGGGAACCCTTGACTATGTAAAACATCCAGGATCCGTCGAGGAATGTCTAGCGGTGGAGACCGTTATTTCGTGCTGTGGGTCTCGATATAAATCCTCCGAAGAAGCTCCATCTTGTGCCGACGCATACACCGAGCATTGACAGACCGTATTCCTCACGCCATGTTATGAGGATAGTCATAATTGACACACATATAGTTGATATCCCCCTTTCTCTCCTTATACCAGATTTCCAAGTTCTGAGTTGATATCAGGTACTTTGGGACCACCTCATCTCTGGTCGAGATCCGAGTATATGGATTCAATACGACACTCCTGCATGCTCCACGCCCCCGCACGCACAGTACGCGGCGATGTACCAATCCTTGTGCAGAAGAAGGTCTTGAAACAGGATTCGCGCGCAGACGTAGCAGGTTGTACTACTCCACCGCTTTGCACAAGACCGAGAGTCTGGACTCGAGCTTGGAGATACATCGGCGCATGTGAAGGTGATACGTAAGACTGTCTGCCATCTCTGCAACTATACCGAAGGACACAACAGTAATCACGATAGCTACATAGTTTGGCTAATGCCAACAGCGTCTAAGCGAACAGGCCTTCTGAAGCGGACATTAGCTTTACCAGAACATGCGATCACTCCGAACGGTCGTCGTCCCGCGCATCAACAGCTCCCAAGAGCATCGGACATATAACGAACCGGGAACTACTGCAGACGGGTAACAGTGCCGGAACTAGCAAGCCTGTGCCGCCTCGCCTCCCCGTTACCGTTGTTAATCCCAAACTCGTACGGCTTCATCCGGGCGAACCCTAGATGGTTGGCGCCGAGAGCTTTTGTGGCCTACGGATCGAGCTGGGATGGGAAAGAAAGCTCGTGGACGAGTGCCATACTGTTGGGATCGTGGCGCTCCTTTTTACCAGCCTTTCGTTGCGTATTCTTATTTTCTTGCATGCCCGGTGCTTGCACTGCGTGGATTGGTGAAGTCTATTGTTGCTTTTTTCTTCTTCGTTCAGTTCGACTATTACATGCGCGTAAGGACAGAATAGGTGCTTTCACAGTCTGATTGACGCCATGGCGCCACCGACTTCTTACCATATGGCCCTATCGGTCTTGGTTCCTTTGCCGTTTGTTATCATCTCGACCATCTTGCGGTTTTGGATTCGTACCAAAAGGAAGGCATGGGGACCAGACGACTGGGCTATGCTCATCAACTTGGTAAGCTTTGCGCATATTGACACTGGAACACTTACTGACATGAACCCAGCCAGTCTGGACAGTGGCCACAGTCTCCACACTCGGTATGGCTTGGAGTGGCGTTGGACAGTATGATGGCTCATTGACCGCGTCTCAATATTCCATGTCCTTGAAGGTGTGTGACAGTCGTTTTCTCGCGCGCCTCAGTCGTTGGAAAGAGTATACTGACGAGAAGCAGTGGTTTTATGTCTTCCAAGAGCCATGGTGCTTCACCCTCGTCGCGATCAAATGCAGCATCGGCTTCGCCTTGATCCGCATCGCGAACCGCAAGAAATGGATCGAGATGGTCATCTACACCTGTATGATATCATGTTTCGTCGTCATGGGCGGTACGGGAATGTATCTCTTCTTCCAATGTAGGCCAGTACAGTACGTCTTCAGGCCCTTCCCCTTTCAGAGTACCCATAATTAACTCCGGAAACAGGAAGAACTGGTATCCCACGATGGACGGTGAATGCAATGGCCGCAACATCCAGACAGTACTGTCATACGCCGTAGCTGTGGTGTCCATCTCAACAGACTGGATCTTTGCGACTCTCCCCATCTTCCTCCTCTGGGACGTCCAACTCGACTGGCGCGTTAAGATCTCTGTAATGTCCATGCTCGGCCTGGGAATCTTGTAAGCCAACCCATAGCCCTGTACCAAAGACGAAGCCCTGACCACTAACACATACAACAGCGCATCCATCGCCCCCATCGTCCGCCTCAAGTTCCTCATCGGCCTGAACGACCCAACCCGACTTCTCCAGAACCTCGGCGAAATCCTCGCTTGGGCCTGCGCAGAAATGAACGTCGGCATGTTCGTCGCCAACCTACCCGCCTGCCGCCCTCTCCTCACAAACTTCATCTCGCACTTCTCATCCTGGTCAGGAAGCCACTCCAACCCTTCCGGCGGCTACTCGAAGAAGCAAAACCCTCGGGGTTCCATCCGCGCCGGTCCAGGATCAAAGCAATGGATGGAGCTCAACGAGCGGCCGGAGAACCACTCGAATTCGGGTAGCAAGCCCAAGAGCGTGGGTGTGGAAACAAAAATCTATGGCGATTTGGATGAGTACAGTAACACGAGCCTGGAACATGTTGATGGGGATCAGAAGCGTGGTGGACAGCGGCCGAGTGGTGATGGCTTGCAGGTCAGTGTGCAAAAGGACTTCAGAGTGGAGATTAGTGACAGGAAGCAGTTGACGGCGTTGCCTAGGGTGCCGTTGGAAACTGTTTGAAATGGCGGTTGTCAGCGTGGTACTGGAGTTGTAGATGCTGTATATGTCATGTAGATCATGATCGCAATGAGCAGGGCTTCATATATGTTCCTCTTGCGCTTTTATTAGTACAAAGTTCTCCCAGTCTCAATATCCATGCTTTTGCAACTCCGCCTCAGTATACTCCCACAACTTCTTCCTCAGCCCCTCATCTCTAGCAAATGAACTGCCAGAACTCTTCTTACCCACTGGCATGTAATATGCGCCACTCTCCAATTCGTCCTTCGCGGTGGTAGCACACCAAGTCGTGTTCAGCGCGCCTCCTTCCGGACCTTGGTAGTGACCCGGCAGTATCATGCCGATGATGCCGTAGATGTACAGGCCAACCTTCATGAATATGTTCGTGCGGAGGTTGTCGAAGAGATCCGTCAAAATGACACCGGGGTGCAGGGAGACGGATGTTATCGTAGGGTACTCTAGCGCCAGCGAGCGAGCGAAGAGTATATTCGCCAACTTCGAGGAGCCGTAGCGACGCCAGGTACTCTCCTTCTCGAGCGCTTGCTGGTCGAACTCAATGCCCTTTGATACTGGCATCTGGTGGCCCATACTGCTCAGGTTCACAATTCTGACATCTGAGCCGGGCTGTTTCGCCGTGTCCAGCATCGTCGGGATAAGGAGTTTCGTGAGCAGCGCGTGGCCCATGTGGTTCGTGCCGAACTGTATCTCATATCCTTCCTTGGTGGTGCTGTATGGTGGGGCCATGATACCAGCATTGTTGATCAAGATATCGAGTCGCGATTCCTGGCTCTTGAACGTCGATGCTGCGTCGGCAATGGACGAGAAAGACGTCAGGTCGAGGGGGAGAAATACGATCTCGCAGGCATTTAGCACGCTGTTCTTAATGTCGGAGATGGCGTCGCGGGCTTTGGATTCGGTACGAGCGGCGAGGTAGATGCGCGTGGGGTTGTGCGCAGCGAGGTATGCGACGGTCTGTTTGCCTAAGCCGGCGTTGCCTGTGTATGTGTCAGTCGCACGATACGGTCGCTCATGCTCTGAACTTCGAGACACTCACCACCTGTGACGAGGATAACCTTCCCATCCAGACTGCCAATGTCCTTAGCAGGGTCGAATGACTTTCCCATGTTGCTGGTCTTTTGTGGTCGCGGTTATGGATGTCGCAAAGCTGCGTGCGCGCAGTGAGAGGGAGTGGAGACTGTTGGCGATATGGGGCAGGATATAGCAGGTACTCGTCAACGTCGGCGCCAAGTATGTCTCTCGTCGTGGTTGTTGACGCAAGCAGGAGGCTGTCGCAATCCCGCGCACATCCTGTTGGCCGTCAAGCCATCGTTAGCTTGCGGTGCGGTCCGTCCACGGGGTTTCGTCGTCGGATGCCGAGGTTGGAAACGCGCTATGACGTCTTCCATTGCATGTGAACGCGTCTCCTGTAACGCTTCGGAACCCGTATTGAAGTCCGGACGCGATGTGCATTCTGTGATGCTAGAGGTGGATGCTACGTACGATGCAGTATTTGTGGTTGTGAGAAAGTCGTCGAAGTGGCGCTGCCAATTCGCGCTTACGGCTTACTTGCATAAATCCTAATACATGAGGGAACCAGAACTGGAAGGCACACTGTTCTCAAATGGGGTATCATTATGCTTAATTACAATATATAGCTGAAAATGCTTTTGCGCTTCGTTGATGCGAGCCCCACGCTTTAGGAAGTGTAACACTAAATTCAACGTCTCGGACCGGAGAGCCCTGCTCTAGGATTGTTTCTAAACCTCTCATAAGGATTGTTCGCACGCGCATAGTCCTCATCAAGATCGAGATCATGTATCACTATCGGCTTTCGTTGGGTTGATGTGGGTGCTGTTGTAGCTGTAGCTGGAGGTTGTTTTGCGGGAGCCGTTTTGGCCTTGAATGAAGACAGAAGGTTTTGGCGTTCTTCCTCAAGCTCATCGTCGCTCGTTAGATCGATAACTCCATCGTACTGAGCAGGGGTCGGGCGGGCAACGCTTTTCCGCTTTGTGCCGCTTGGTTGTGACGCTGCGATAGTTGAAGCCGAGGTCGGTATCGTTGGTGACGAAGCTGCGGAAGAAGCCCCTTGTTGAGTTTGACCAAGCTGCCGAGACTGCATCCGTGGAGATGCAGTGGCGATAACGCCTTCCCATTGCGCGTCCGTATGAGTGGGTGCGAATGCTCCTCTGCTTGTCGGATGAGCTTGGGTCATGCTTGAGGGTCGTGATGACGTTGGTGTGCCGTTCTGCAGATTTTGGTCTGTTTGAGGAGCGTGCCGTGAAGTTTTATGAGAGAGTCTAGATGGCTGCATCTGCGCTACCGGCGCAGGGTGGTTCCTAGAGTCAGGCGCACGGGCTTGCTGGATCTGGGGAGGTGTGTGCTCCGGTGTGAAAGGTTTATGAGTAGCGTATAGTTGCGTCACGGGTAAGCGAGACTGGTGATATGCTTGCATAGGTGCGTTCGACAAATTTGGAATATAATAGTCGGGATAGTCGGCTTGAGGAGGCTCAGGCCTAGGGTCGGAGCGCGAAGTATGTATAGGATCGTTTCGAGACCGTCCCGGCGGTATAGATTGTTCGGCAGCACCTCTCGCTGCCGGCGCAGACCCCGGTACAATTTGATTCCCATATCCGTTTCCTGGTCTCTGCAAAGTTTCGTGCGGTGGTCCTGACGTTGTGCGTGTTGGCCCAGTCTGTGGCGAGTTGGTCAAGGTTGAATTCAGCTGTAACGCTTCGCCTGCACGCCATAGACGTGGCGAAGCAGAAGTTGCGCTGACAGGTGATGGTTGTTGAGAACCAAAATCTGTAAAAATGTTACCCATTATGGGAGATCCTGTCGGTGCCGCAGCTGTGCGCACTCGCTCCGAAGGAGCATTCCTTGCAGTGGCGACTTGTGGTGGTCCGTTGATGTCATATACGGGACTATTGACTTCTGATTGAGCGTTTGATGGCCCGGGATCAGTCCGCTGTCGCTTCGGTGCTGTGGGCATAGGTTGTGTCTCCTCCCTTGCGATGATCGAATCGCGTGGTGGCAGTATGGACAGCGGCTTGTCCAAGGGTGCTACCCTTTTCCTCGAAACGGCGGAAGTAGGAGATGATAGTGTTTTCGTTCTTGAAGTAGACGGCGTCGGCTTTGGAGCCCCTGCCGGTTGGTTACGGTCTATCGTAGTGCCATCCACCGCACCTCGAATTCCCTCCAGGTTTTCTATAAAGTCCCAGGCAAACTTCCACATTGGCGCAGACAATCGAAGGTCCTTAAACTGCTCGCGAAAGGCTTCTCGGAGCGCTCTGATATCGCCTAGCAATAGTTCATTGTTGCGCGTTTCCGAATACATAGAGATAAGGACGGTGACGGCCACCATTTCGATGGGCGCAAAGGTTTGTACACCACTCAAATGCCTGTCGGCATTCGTGAAAGTGTCGGGATCTAAGGCAATAAGGTCTTTGAAGGTGGTCCAGACGCTTGCAAGATGTGACTTGAGCGCATCGTCTACAGCGCCGGTGTTGTTCAGCAACTTTGGGATTAAACTCTGGCTTGTCCTCAGCACTGGAATGCCAGTTGCAGGAGTCGGATGCTGTACTTCCAGAATTTGGCTGAAGCAAGACAGAGTGAGTTGGAAGTCCTTCGCTCGAGCTCGATCCTTCATCAAGTCGTAGATCATAGGGAAGTCTTCCACGAAAAGCTTCGCTAGTTCTTGCCATGGGCCTTGTTTCGCGCGCATCCTCTCAGCTAAAGTGAGCTGCACACCCATTTGGACCCTAGCGAAAAGGTCTTCTTCTTGTACTGGCGTAAGCTCTGCGAACTGAAAGGCCACAAAGTCTTTTTCCAAGAAGGACTTTTGAATGTCCGAAGGAAGCACCTTTTTGCGTTTATTGCTAGGCGTCTCACAGAACCACCTTGCACTGTCAGTGAGCCATTGAGAGATATTAATTGGACCGAATTGCTTACCACTTTTCGCCTTTGTGATCATGGCAAGGAATCATGCCTTTGACGAATGCCCTGACAGAGGAAAGTCGTTGTTTTCCGTCCACGCAGACAAGAACGTCACGTGGTGTACCATCTGTTCCATTAATCCGTTTCTTATTCAGAATAATGGGTGGGATGTAGTAGTTTTCTACGCAAGTGTTAGGAATCTTTGGATTCGTTCATGTTAAGAGAGCCTGGAGGAGATCATACCCATCAGAGAATTAATCAGACCCGTCATACGATCGGCTATTGCTATTAGCATGTCGGCGACAATCAAGTTGGGCGTTTTTACCTGTCCAGACAACCTCACGTTGATATTCCGGGTCGACATCGATCGCACCGCTCTCCAGTTCCTCTGGCCGCTGTCAGTAGAAGATCCTCTCGTCATAGTCGGCCAGTCTTTCACTCACTTATCAGACTTCCCAAGCTTCGCATGTGAACATTGGGCTGTGGCAGCTTTGGTCGCGGTTTGTACTCGTACCCATCGTCGCTGTCGCTTTCTGCGAAGATGTCGTCATTGCCGTCCTCGTCTTTGACAGCAGACTGCACTGCAATGCTGTCGTTGTTTGGTTGTTTGGCAGCGCCGCGATGGGTGTTGCTGACTTCCATGCCCGTGCGGACCCCAGGCATGCTGGGGTGAGCGGTGTCGAATCAGGAAGTAGGTATACTAAGTTGCATTGACTAGGTAGTTTTGGATCAAGCTTATGTCAGCTTGCACTAAGCTCTTTGAACACTAGCTAGACCTAGACTAGCTGCAATTCACTTTCACCTTAACTACTCAAAAGACCTTTAGTTTTCTTAGAAGACAAGTGCAAAGTGCAGAAAAAAGTTGAATTTATATGCAAACATTCTAGCGGCTTGGCTGCAGCACTTGGTCATGGACAATCCTAGTCTAGAAGGTTCTGCATAACTGCAAGCAGACAAGTTAGCAGGCTACATGCATCAGCGAGAAATTGCTGTTGCAAACAACCAATCATCACACTTTGCCCAACGCACTGGTCATTCAACGAGCACTTCACAACATGCGCATCATCCTCCTGCATTAACAATCATGACTCAATGTTTCAATATAGTCGTGATGTATTGTCATAGATGCGACACTATTGTCTGCCAGTTCTCTTTTCCCCATTAGATGCAGATACGCATCGCCCTGTGAGAGCCTGTGATATGGACGGCGAATGCCACCAGGCGGGAAGATACATGAGAAACATAGGCTAAACAGCAGCCTGTATATGTCCATCCATCTGACTTGATGTAGTGCCGGGTCACTCAGTCATCATAGAGTGAGTCATGGTCATCCTCTTGAGCAGCATGGCCAGCGGCAAACTGCTCCTGGAAGTGACCCTCTTGCTCCTCCATCGCGTCGTGCTCTTGCATATCCTGATCTTCCGCTTCCGGCTGTCGTGTAATATCTTGAGCATCCGCCACCTCCTCGTCTTCGGTCAGATCGTCATCCTCTTGGGCACCGTCCCTGTCGGATTCTTCAGCGTCGCCGAGCTCAACGACCTGCATTTCTTTGGCCTTTCTGGAGAGTTTGAGGTTGATTTCGCCCAAGTGCTGCAGCTGCTGAATGTCGAGCATTCCCTTGGAGCCAAGCCCGAGCACCATCATGAAGCCTTGGCAAGCGATCATCTTGGTGTTTTCCGTGGGTGGAAGAAGTTCCTCAAAGGCGATGTCCTCGATATCAGCGGCGGCTTCGGCTTGAAGCACGTCGGACTCGTGCTCTAGGTCTGCTTGAGCCCGCCTGCGCTTCTCAACGATACGTTCCTGGATGAAAGTAATGAAGTTTTCACCTTCTGTTGACAAGGCCTCGCGGACGCGTGCTGATGGTTCTTGAACTGCTGGCTCGGGAAAGTCGGAGCTGAAACCTGGTAGGCCAAAGTCGTCGCCACCGTAATCGACATCGCTCGTAAGGTTCTTGAATCCCTCAAGAGCAACAGGCTGACCGCGACCTTTTGAGGGGGAGGCAGACACGAAGCGGCTTCCGGGTCTGCTCTGATCAGCGGAGCCTATCATACCAGCGCGTCCGCTTCGAGGAACGACTGAAGAGCCTCGGACAGAAGCGCTGATGTTCCATGGCATTGCTGAGAAGATCTGTTGATCGTCAAGTGCGGAGACACCCTCGCGCGGTAGTTCAACGGCGATGTCGTCTTCAACAAACATAGGAATGTCTTCGTTGTCAGCCGAACGACCAATCTCAGGCTCGCCGGTCTTCTGACGCACACGGCGAGATTCTTCCTGAGTTGCATCATCGATACCACTGTCGCGGTCGTGCTTGACTCCGGTAGCCTTGTTGCGACTGAAGCCCATGATCGTCTCGAAGAAGTTGTCACCAATGAACATGTCGAACGGATTGGGAACGTGGCCGCCCAAGACACGTTCACCGATGCCGCCGAGGCCCGCGCCCCAAACGTAGTGCTCGGCATTCTTCTTAGCCTGAGCAGCAGCACGTTTCTGAATTTTCTGCCGAGCTGCTGCTTTCATGTTCTGACGGTAGTTCCTCTGCCAACCAGCCAACTCCTTGTTGGGAAGCTCTATAGCTGCATCGATAGGAAGAGTGCGTGGAACCCGACGACGGCGCATGGGCGCGGTGAACGTATCGGAAGACTCAATGACTTCTGAATGCTGACTAGACTGTTGCGGACCGTCTGATGAAAGTGCTCCGCCTTCGATAGGATCGTCGTCGTAGGTTGGGAAGCCGATGTCTTCTTGATCGCCCGGGAACTGATATATGTCAGTCGTCATTCTGGATGAGGCTGACGGTAGCTGGATCATGTGAAAAGAATGGAAGATGGGAGAACCAAAGACACAAACAAAGATATGGGAAGAGACAGGCAGCAAACGTCTTCTAACGAGGCGGTATACACAACCGCCTGATAGAGACTGGCCGATAGTGGTGAGAGTGTGTGTTGCCATGTCCTGAGCATCGAGTGAGGGAAGGGAAGCCTCACCGCAAGACGGATGGCTGAGATTGCAGTGCAAAAAGACGTGAGAGAAAGCAGCAAAACTCACCTGATCGCCGACCTGCTGTCCATCCTCATGTTCCTTGCGAACTCGCGCACTAGCCCCAGCATCGCTGGACATTTTCGCACCTGCGGTCCTAGCTGGCGTGCTGGGAACTTTTCGCCGTGGTGGCAACTGGATGATCTCGCCATCGTCTGCGATCATGAAGTCTGGGTCTTCAAGCTGGATCGTATCGCCAGCGCCCATGACACTTGGTCCGCCAACACTGCCCACTCCATCGTCGCCTTCAAGTCTGAACTCGGCCGCCATCACGGGAGATGAAGTAGGCAAGATGAGCCCACCGATGCCATCCGCATGGGAAGAGGACCGTGCTTGCTGGGAGCTGAAGGGTGTGAGCGTCTGGGAGTCGCCGGACCGCGCAATGTCGAGGTTGAAGTTGTGGTCTAGTTCTGCGAGGAAGTCCGGGGGAGGAAGCGCGAGCTCGGGCAGGAAAGAAGGGTCATCTTCGAGTATGAGATGCTCAGGCCTAGAAAGATTCTGTGAGTAGAGTGACCGTGTCATAAGGATGATGCTCGCCTACCTAGCTTTGCCAGCGTCTGGATCGAGTGCGGTATGCTTCACGGTCCGCAGCATCACTAGCAGGGCGTTTCGCGCACTCTCTGCGTCTGAAAGGATGTATCCACATTGTTGTAGGTATACACGCGATACACCGTACCTGCATGTGTCAGTAGTCTGTCGCTCGGACAAGGCATGGCAGCGCGGCGTACATCAAATTGCCCTGTAGCCGTAGAGCCATAGGCGCTACAGGATCGACAATGGTCTGACATGCTTTCTGTACATCGACATCGAGAATCTGTTTGCGGCCGATTCGTTTGTGGGTGGTAGCGACGAGCCTGCCACTTCGGTCAGTACAGGGCAGGGGCGACTGGACGTCTTCTAACATACCACACGGTTGCCACACCGTATTTGCGCGACGTGAGCACTACGATTGTTAGTCAAATCGTTCCGAGCTGCAGTCTCGGTTTGGAGCTTACCTTCGTGACTGTAAAACATGCTGTCGGTACTTAATACATGAAACAGATGATCGTACAAGTGTAATGATACAGGAAAAAGATTGCGGCGTCTCGCGAATGACGCGTGATATTATAACAGAAGCGCAGCAGTCGAACGTATGGGGAGGAAAGCGTTCCTGGAGGTGAGCGTCACGATCATGGAAGGGCTTGGCAGCACGCTTCGACGCGTTTCTACGCGTGGTGAGGTGGAGACGGAAAGGGACAGAAAGTACACTTCACCAGTCTAATGCCGTGTCTATTAATGCAAGGTCTTGAAGTCATGCAATCGTTACTTAAGCTCTCAGAGGTATCGTCCCATAGCCTTTCCAGCTAGTACAACGCCAAATGCCATGCATTACCTGCTGCTCCAGTCCCGTTTGCGCTTCAGCATGATCTTGCGCGCGAGATCCAAGGAGATGCCCATAGTGAAGTGTGTCGATTCAGTCTATGAGTCGCCCATCTGCACGTCCTCGTCGACGACGGGAAGAGGAACGGCGCGGTAGAGGAGGATAAGAGCCGAGTGGCTTTGACCTGGAACATGTCAGTCATCGTCAATTCACAGTCACAGTCTGGGATGCTTACCTCCGCCAGACAGGGTTTGTATCCTCTCAGCATCCACCTCAGATACCTTCTCGTCGTTGAACCACCACCATTTACCGTCTTCCTCCTTCCGCTTGCCAGTGTTGGGGTCCTTGGGTCCCTGCTTCTTGACGAAGGACGTGTAGTGGCCACTGTCGGCGCTGGCGCCTTGATGAGTGATGACACCTCTCAGCTCGTAGAGACCGGTCTGGTTTGCGCCTTCATCTGCAGTCATCTTGGAGTCCACAAGAGCGAGGAGCTCCTTCTTGGCAGCAAGGATTGATGCGGCGCGTTCCGCCTCGACCTGGGCGTCGGTCTTGTACTCAACCTCCTCCATCTTGGTGTCCTCAGCCGGCTTGCTGGCGTCCTCCTTCTTTTGTGCAGCTTCCTTCTTCTTCTGTAGAGGCTCCTTGCGAGCAAGAGGGTCGCTGTCGTTCTCCTCGCCAGCTCGCATGCGCTTCTGTCGCTTGCGGGCGCGCTCGACATCCTCCTCTTCTTTGCGGACTTCACGGATCTTGTCCCGGATTGGGACGAGCATCTTCCTCAGGTCGTCTGTGCAAAACTCCAATGCGTCCAGCTCTTCGGGGAAAGTGACCTTGCGCATGATCTTTGCCTTCTTATTGGTATCCTTTCGCCAGTCGAAACGCACGAAATGGATGGGGAGGTGTTTCGGTAGGCGCGCGATCTTGGACGTCTTGGTGTAGATGGCGTTTCGGCCCAGAACCTCTGATCGCTTCTCGATCTGCTCCTTCAAGCCAGCAGCCAGACCGTCCCTGAGGTGGTTCGTCTCTACGTTGATGTGGCAGTTGAGCTTGAAGAAGAGGTCATCGCTGTGAACGGGCTCCTCGCCACCCTCCTTCGCTGCGGGCTCATCGCACTCCATGACTGACTCAAACTTGCCCGCCATGTACTTGTCGATCCAGGATAGCTCCCTCTTCTTGTTCGCATCTGACCCTGTCTCGTTGTCGGTGATCTTGAGCTTTTGTCGGAGCAGCGAGACGATTTGTGACCAAGCCTCCTCGGCATCCTGCTGTG